TCCATCCATCCATCCGTCCATCCATCCATCCATCCATCCATCCATCCATCCATCCATCCATCCATCCATCCAGTCTTCCTCTGTCCATCCTGCTGTTGAGGAAACAGGCTTGTCTGTTTTGATCTTTGTGTTTTTATGGTTTCTGTTAGACACCTAGAGTTATTAGCCAACTTATTGTATGACTGAGTCTGTTGTTCTTGGGTGTTTTGTAAATAAAACTTTAGGTTGTGACATAATCTGAAATCAGTTGCTCTTAAGGTCATCATCTTATCCATGGAATCCTGTCCAACACTGACAGCTTTGATTACAGAATGACTTCTGGCTCGTTGGAAACAGAACTTGAGCAGCAGCATTTGTTGCTTTCTGTAACTATGAACGACTAAATTCAAGTTTGAGGTCAAAAATGTGTTTGAGGACATTAAAGTAAAAATCCAAATGTATTTAAATTACCAAATAATGAATCAAACTCTTAGTGAATCTTGAGGTTAAATTCAAAGCCTGTCATCTTAAGACACTAATTAGTTTTATCTACAGTATGGTGGCTTTGCATAAAATAGGGAATTTAGATTTTATTTTTTATTGCTAGTGTGAATCTTTAAGGATAATTTCTCACATCTGATATTTACCTGTTTAAACATGAAGTCTCCCTCAGCCTGTCTCTCCCTGTGGTCCTGTTGCTCCCTCTCTTCTTGCTCTTGGAGGTCTGGAGGTTCCTGCTTGATGACCAAACCCCGTATCAACCCTGTTTCTGGTCCAGATGAAGTAGACGATGATGACGAGGACAAGGCAAGTCCCTGGTGCTCCCTGAGCTCTTCTTCTGTCTCCTCTGGGTGGCTCTGATGCTGCCTACCGGGCACAGAGGTCCCAGAAACTGCAGCCTGATCACTGGGCTTAGACATAATCTAAGGAATCAGAAGAAAAGGGAGATTTGGTTCAGATTATTTGTTATAATTGGAGCTTAAAATAAACCTGGATCACTTAAAGAGAAAAACAATCCCACCAACTACTGAGAGAGGCTAAAAAGAAAAAGTTCCTAAATTATTTATTGGGAAAACTTAAAGGAGTTAATCTAACAAAAAATAAATAAAAATTTATATTTACATGGGAGAGATTTTTTGCAATCAAAACACATAAACAAAGACAATTCTCAGTCCACCAATCTTTCCACTAATCTTTCCACTCCAAAAATAGCAGAGTGATAAGGCCAGGCACAAAAACAACACACTGACCTCTAGTTTAAGTAAACACAAAACTAACATTAACCAGACAGAGACGAACCTGATCTGTACTCTGAACCCCAGACCCAGAAATATAATTCCTTTATAACCTCAGTTCCATCCACAACCTGTTTGTGTATTTCTTTGTGTACCGCACCAGTTCACTAAAGCCGTCCACTAGATGGCACACCAGAGTCTGAACATGACGAACTTCCAGAAGGTAAAGTTGGGGAAACGAGGACAGGGTGTAACATATGCAGCAGATTCAAGAATCTGAGCAGTTAAACACTCCGTCTTGTTTACATGAAATATTTGGAGACGTGCACAACACGTCTTCCAAAAAAGACACACAATATGTGACGAAAGGCTCATAAGGAGTAATTAAAAGTCAAATGTGTTACTGGAATAAGTCAGTTATTTGCTTTGAATACTAAAGGAGTCCCTCGGCCTGTTTGTGATTTCATTTCTAAGGTCACCTTGCTTGAACCCAGAGAAACTGAGCTAAGGGGCACAAGGGAGAGAAGAAGGGAGAGACTGCAGGAACTGTGGAGGGGTGACTCTAGTAATCTTGTTGTGGCAGCTGTCCCTGTCGCTGTCGTCAGAGAACTCAACCTTGATGTGCAGGTCATGATTGGACTGGGCCAGTTTGTGTGCAGGGATCACACATACACATCCATCCAGACACACACACACACTTGGCTGGCATGCTGCCCAGGGAACGGTCTATTGACGTCAGAGAACAGGCTCTTGCCTCATCCCAGTCCCTTTACTCCAAACAAACTCAAAACACTCAACAAAACCGGCCGCACTGATTCTTAGTCTTCTTTTCTTTCATGTTCTGTTCCCTTTTCCTCTTTATACCCCCCCGTCCCCCCCCCCCCGACAAAATAGTTGCTGGGATATGAAGCATAAGGGGGGCAGGCGTTAAATAAGCCTGTTAAATAAGCTGGAAGATGAGGACAGCATGCAGCGGAAAGAGGAGGTGATTTTATACACAAACACTTGACACTTGTTGGCTCGATCTATCCGTCTCTCTAACAGGCCCGTTCTTACACATCAATATCACTTAAATACTTCACAGCATTTCCCTTTCATGTAAGTAATACTTAACGTTGAAGTCGTTCTGGAAATGATTGCTGCAGTCCCCCTCAAACTTGTTTTATTGCTGCCTACACTAAAGCATGTAAGCAAGTAGAAATGCTAAAGATGATGGATCCTTTTAGAAATATTGTAACAGTTAAAGTAGAGATTTTTAAAGTTTGCAGCATAATGAATGACCAAATCCAGTAGTAAACAAAAGGTGTTCAACAAACCTTCCTAAAACTTCTAACTGTTCTGAAATCAGTTGGAATAATTTCACTTCACCTGGGAGACACACATTTCACACCAGGTGGGTAGAGCCAACAGGGACTTTATTTCCTCATTAGCGTTAAAGTGTGCTCATTTCATGAACCTCTACAGGTCAGTGATAGAAAGCCTGGTGCAACGAAGCGTAGTTTGGTTCTGTAGTCGCTACAAGGAGAATAAGAGGAACCCACACTGGGTTTTGAAGGCAGCAGAATTGAGATTTTGGATCATAGCTGCCCTCTCTGACAGACATTTACATTCACAGAAGAAAACCAGTGGCAGTGCAACAGACTCCACTCACTAGGAAACATTCTTTCCTTTCCACCTCCGTCTGGAAAAAAGGTTTAGGACTTTGAAAACCGTACGCAACAGACTGAAAAATAGTTTTATCCCAAAGCTTTCAAACCATCAGCAATACGACATGAAAACACTGCATACATGGGATATAGTAAGAATTCTACCCGGTGCCTACTATGCTCGCTTGCTTATCAAAAGTAATTGTTTTTAATTAATCTAGGGGGAAAAAGAGAACTTGAGAAACTTAATAAACATATTGCTGTTTCATGACAATTGGATGCTACTCATGATTCAAATGTTTTATTGTCATAAATGAAGAAAAAAAGTTTCTTATATGCAAACATGCTTGCAGAGTGACGCTCCATAATACTGTAAAGCGTGAATTGTATTATTAGCAGGGATCAAGTTAACACGACAAATAATAATAAAAAAACAAACATCAGATATTAATCTTGTAAGTGTTATCTTACAGATAAAGTGATTAATATGATATTAAGCACGTATTAATATATAAGAAAAAGGTTATTTTCTTATTAAATAAAGCTAATTTATGGTTCTTAACCTGAAACTGTCTTTATCTATCTTATATCCTGATTCCTTGTACAAAAAACACATTAATATTATCTAAAACAAAAAAGAAAACAACATTTAAGCATAAGGGATGAATTCCCCTAAATAAATAAATCAGACATTTATGTTTTCCCTTCTGTGTAATATAGCTATAACTCAAAATTATCAGTAGGCTATCTAGCCAATAATAATTAAATAAACAGCGTTTATACCAGATATCTACAGAGTGACTGAACATTCTCATAATGTCTACTTATTATTTTTAACCATCACACACTCTTTTTAAATATCAAATGAATAATTTTCACATTGTTGAGCTGAATTAGGATTTTTCACTGCTGTATACAATAAGAAAAAACATGAGGAATGTAAATAAACTATGTAAATACTATGATATGGGAAAAAAAGCAGGAAAGATTTCAACAGAAAATATGTTCGGGCAAATGTTTTTTTTTTAGCCCTATTAGTATTTTGTTCATACAGTTAAACCCAAAAACTCTCTCTGTCCACAAACTCAAAGTTTCCTTTTTCTGATCACCATGAACTTTCTATGTGTGTGAATTATATCACAGCAGTAATCATCAATTAAAAGGACCAAAGCAGAAATCCGCGTAACATCTCACACAAAGACGTATGCGTACCCAAAACAGAGCGAAGGCAAACACGGCATTAGCTGCTCCGGACGGCATTATGTGCTGATATTTGAGGTCTGTATCCAAATGAATGCTTGTTGTAAAAATCTAATTAACACTCATCTGCGTCAAACCGTCACGCAGGATAAAGGAAGGGATTGCATTTCACACATGGACAGTGCAATTTAATTTAAGCTGATTGATTCTCCTCAGGATTAAAATCCTCAAACTTTTGAAGCAAAAAGTAATCAATAGAAAAACAGTTAACTTAGAGCATTAGAAATGCATTTGTAAAATCTAAGCTTATCATTTTAAAAACAACTCCAATGATCAATACCTCATAAAGAGAAATAAGTAGCTACACAAAGTTTATTCTATTTTGTAGTTATTCTATGTGACAGACAACAAAAAAGTAAATAAGGGGAAAAGGATACATGCTGCTTACTCTGGTGCCCCTAAATAAAACCCAGTGGTAATATATGTAGCCCACCTGTATGTCATTTAATCTCAGTATAAATCCTGCTGTTCTGTATTTAGCTTAGAGTTTTATTTTGACCACATAACGAACATCAAGCATCAAGAACCTTTGGAACAGAGCAGACCAGTCAGGGAAAAAGTTATGGGGAAGTTTAAAGAAGGATTAGATCAGACAATGGAGTTTCACTTTGTTATTGCACAAGCTGCCTGGGAAACAGAATGAATAAATAAATGAATAAAAATAAACTCCCTAAACTGAACTTGAGTCTCCCTTATTTAAACTAGGGAGCTACAGTACATGCAGCAAAAGAGCAAAATGCAAAGCACTTTATCTCTAAAGGAACTCCAGCACTCTGAAATACATAGATATATATGCAACACAAACAAGCATCTCCTACTGTTACACTGCATCTCTCTGATCATGAGTCATCTTTCCTGTTTAAAGCTTATACGGCAGCAGCTTCTTCACTCATGCCTGGTTGCCATGGTGACGAGGAGATACAGGGACACAGGCTCATAGAGAAAAAACAACAACTAAAGACTTGATTGATAGCTGATTCATGCTGCTTTTGAAGAGGAGGACAAGATTCAAGAACATTAACTGAATCATACGCAGGTGATTTTCAAAGCACTCGAACAGAAAGTTCTGTGCAGAAGTCTGCACTCAGTTTTATCTCAATGCTACTTCAAAGAAACTAGGGTTTCTTTAAAGTCAGCCTAGTTCAGGTGTTCCCCAGGCTCCATCATATCAGGAGTACTTTAGGAAAGCGAGAACTAGTGTGAATGGGATTAAAATACATAGAAATGAACTTAAGTTTCAAACATTACTTGATTAAATAACTACAACTTGCTGTTACATTGGTCTTGCAGGGGTTTTGAAATGTTGAATGTAGTGCACATGGACAGGGTGAGATACCTTATTGATGATGTGCTGCTGTTGCTGCTGCTGTTGGAACAGTTGTTTGTGCTTTTCCAGGAACTGCTGGTGCTGCTGCTGGACCACCAGCTGCTGCAGAGCCTGGGCCTGTCCGCACGGCTGCTGGGGGAGAGGCGCCGACTGGGTCCTTCCCAGGGGACGGTGGCCACGCACCAGCTTGGAGACGGTGGGAGACTGGAGAGGGAGGCCACCAAGACCGACTGCAGGAACGACAAAAAGAAATTAAGAAAAATCATCCCACGTATTCCATGCATATGGTTTCTAAACCCAAACTTCCAAATGGGAAGTTCTGTTTATTCACTGAGTTTATAAAACTAGAAATATTTGAAATTAAACAGTAAAGGTGTGATTCAAGAACTTTAACCATTAAAAGTTAAATAATTTTTATGATTCAACACTAAAAAAAAAAACAATTAAAATATATATTTCAATGAAGAATATGAATGATGAATGATGAATATGGCTTACAGCTAAGAACTTTACATTTATTTTCTAACAAACTTGAACCGAAAAAAGCTCAATAAACTAAAATAGTAAATAAAAATACTGAATAAAAATGTGTTATCTACAGTTTAGTGCTAAAGAGACAAGTTGTGCATAGAGGGCTGAATCCAAAACATACAAATGGAAAGTTAAGTGGAAGAAAAAAGTGTTGTAGGAAAAGGTACATGAGCATTATAGACAAACGCTGCTTTGAGACAAATAAGGCAAACTATATTTGACAGGGTAAAATAAACAAGACATAAATTATGCTGCAGCTTGAACTACAACAGTACTGTAAAAACTTACAGTACAATTTCTTAAATTGAGTGTATTTACCCTTAATTTTAGAAGGTAAATAAGCTAATTGGTCAATGGAATAAGAATTTCAACCCTCAAAATAAGATAATTGAAAAAATGTAGCACTTACCTACTCAATTCAAGCAAATATTTATTTTAAGAAAAAATGACTTATTTACATTTAAATTTTTTACAGTGAGCCACTGCAAAAAGTGTCCTTTGTTGGACAGCATAAAACCAGAGGTAATATTTGAACATTTTGACTTGTGCTAGGGTGATTTATCACTCAGTGGTCCTAAAGTTTCCGTTTTAGATAATAACAATGTTTCATTTCAAATCAAGTTTAATCAGACAAATCAGACAGTCAGCCACAGTGAGCAATTTCATGTACCGATATTCTTTCTGTATTTTATGAAGTTCGACGTCAATACACCTGTTATTAGAGAAAAATCAGATTACTCTGATGTAATGACTTCATCAATGTATAGTAAAAACAATAAATTTGTGTCAAATGCATCTTTACAGTACATATTGTTTTTTATTCAATTTCTGAATTAAGCAAACTTTTCAATAGCTGTATAATTTACTGAAATGCTCCTGTGTTTATCAGTTTACCCCAATTGTGCCTGCATTAAGCAAGAAAAAATACAGAAACATGGTAATGAAAAAAGGACGAATGCTTTTAACATGAGGAACAGGAAGTTTTAGTAAATGTTCCAATAACTGCTGACCCATTGATCCGTGGCTCTGCTCCATTAGCACCATGTGTTGGAGGAGGGGGCTGTGGCCAGCCGCGACCCCTCCAGGAACCTCCCTTTCCAATGCTGATGAGGCCAAGTAGGATGGCAGGTGGGAGGTGGGCAGAAAAGCCGGGGTCAGTGGAATGCCCGGCTGAAGCGCTGGCAGCGACAAATGACTCTCGCCATCTTGGTGTCCCGATACCACCTACAAAGAGACAGACAAGGAAAGAAGTAGAGGAAAAGAGGGAGGCAGACAGTCAGAGTGGGAGAACAGTCAAATGTGAAACGTGGGCAGCGAGATGGAGAAAGATGGAAAGAGTCGCTAATGCCAGAAAATTGCTCTACTGTACACCAACTTGCCAAAAATACAACTCGCTGACTGTTTCCAAAACCATTAATTTTACAACAAACTCCGTTTCCTTCTTTCCAAATAGGCTCTTAGGTGACATTTTATTTTTGCATTATTTTCCTTGGAGCAACGATCAGAACAGCATCAGTCATTAATTTCTTTTAGCTTGTTTACTCACAGAGCTTGCAGGGCCCGAGGCGGGCAGTCCTAAAGTAATGTTGGGCAGAGAAGGCGATGAGTAGAGAGACAGCTGGCTGATCGAACCCTCCCTGCAAGCCAGCCTCTGAATCAGAGAGGCCTGCAAAAAAACAAAAAGAAAAACCCAAATATATCTGTTAGTTCTCGGTAAATACTATTTTCTTTATGCTTCTTTGTAGACACATGAAGATAAATTCTTTACATTCAGTCCCGAAATAATTTAATTTAATAACACTTTATAAATGTCTTGATTACACTTTAAAGTACCAACCCTGTTGTAGAGACATCTGCACCACATTTAAAGGTATAGTGGAGGATTTTCGAGAATTTTTGAAAAGACCCGCCCTCTGCACTTAAAAAAAATACACATGCACAACCCTGTACCCGCTCCCGAGAGGAAGCGTCTATTAAACGTGTGCAAGAGCATGCACAAGCCCATTTGTCCTCGTGCATGCTCTATTTAAAGGTTGCTGTTTGCATCGCTTTAACAAAATTACTTTTCAAAAGAAGATTTGCAATTTTTCCACTATGTCGGTTTTACCACCGGTAAGAGAAAATGGGGTCGAGCACGTAGGACGGCCTTACGTAAACATATCACCAGAATGATGAAACATAATAAACATTATAAACAGAATGATGAGACAAAATAAGGGGGACCGCTTATTTTGATGATCCACTCGGAAAAAGAACATCCTCCACTTTACCTTTAGGATTTAACATGAATCTACAACACACTAACAAGAGGGTTTCTCAAACCCCTCTAAATGGTTGCTCTCTATGACTCCCAACAATATTAATATTTTTTGACATGTTCATTATAAAAAAAGAAAAAAAAAAAAAAGATATCCTCTCCTTTATACTGGCAACAAACACCAAGTTCTTTGATGTTGTTTTAGTGTTTGATGTTGTTTTACCTTAAGAAAAAATGTAAATTAGCAATAGAAATGAGTTCAGATGCATCATTGGGATAACTGCATCACTTTATTTTTTTGCTAAATAAAAAAATAAATAAAATAAATGCTACCAAACGCTTTGATCTGAAATGACAATAAATTCTACGACTGAATATTAATCCCAAAAGTTGCTTCAAATGATGCAAATAATGAATGCTTTGGTCCTTATAAGGAAAACATTTTTTTCAAAACACCTATAAAAAAAAGATAATATAAGAATTTTCTACAACATTCATATTAATCAAAAGGTCAATATCAGTTTTTCTTCTTATACCTTAATAGTTTTAACCACTTGGTTCTAATTTCATAAAACTTTGACCTTATAATAATATTTATAATAATAATTTCCTGATACATAAACTAAACTCTAACCGCTACACACTGTAACGTGAGAAGAGTGATGCGAATGTGCGGTCGCAGTGAAGCCCATGTGTGCAACCATACTGTTTACCTCTCCTGGGCTGTTAGAGATGGGGACGCCGTTTTCACTGGGGATGTTACTGGAGCTGTTGTTGGGGGAGCTGGGGCCCGAGCCTGGTGCACTGTTGCATGCAGAGTCTGTTACACACACAGTGCAGAAAAAAAATATGACAACAAAATTGTTTTAGATGCTAACAAGCAGCTTAGCGTTGACTAATGAATCTATCCTGAAATAATTGGACTTTTAGAAACAAAACCCAACTAAAATAAATCATTGCACGAATTGTTTAGAAGATTCAATTTTGAAATAATATGTCACCGGATATCATACTGATAGACTGAATCTAATTAGTGAGTTTCCCTGTGGACTATCTGCTGAGATTGTTCTGCTTTAATAATGTTACAACTATATAGTGATTAATCCTGGTCACGTCATTACATTAAATCAACAAATAAAAATAACATACTTCATAATAGGTACAATGACCTCACCCACATATAATTAAAACTGGTTGCATCATACAAAATAAGGCAGAAATGTTTGGCAGTTGGTTCCCTTCGGCTAAAGCGTGTCTTCATGATAACATCTTAGACTGTGGTTTGGGATTTCTATGGTACTGGAACAGGATCGTAATCTAGCAATTTCTAACAGGGTGAGTTTTCCCAAATGAACCCAACTTCAGACACGTGTTCAGCAGCCTAATCACAAAACATGTGGCTGCCATTTATACAGACAATAATATAAAACCATGTTTTATGTGCTTACATAATTAATAGATCCAGCAAGATTATGTTCTAATCTGATATTTTCTGGACCAAAGGAGGAGTGATCAAAGTTAGCTTCAGTTCTTCCACTGGAAGAACTGATTATGCTTTAAATTTGGGTTAGTGGTGAACCTTTAGAGGCACTGTGGCAAAAGTCCTCCCCTTATCACATGAGGAGCATTTCCAGGATTAAAGGACTAACTTCTCAGCAAGACCTTGGAAAACTAGTTCATGCGGTCATCTTTGGTAGAATTGATAACGGCAACTGTGTCTTTAAAGGTCTGCCTACAAAGTCAATCGAACCATTGCTGTTTATCCAGAATGCTGCTCCTCACCAAAACTAAACAAATGGAGCAATCCCCCCAGCTCTAAAATCATTACCCTGCTTCCCCATATCCCAAAGAAGAGACTTTAAAATATTCCTGTTCGTCTGTAAATCAAAGCTTTTTCACCAAAATGCAAAAAAGATTACCGTATTTTCATGACCATAAGGCGCACCGGACTAAAAGGCGCAGTCTCAGTTATGTGTCCCATTTCTGTATTTAACACACACATAAGGCGCACCGGACTATAGGGCGCGTTTTTTATATACAGGTACATGTCCTCTACTACTTTTTCCCACTGAACTCAGCAAATATAGCTGCAAGATTTACATTATTTAGATGAAAAACA